AATCAATGCAAAAGCTCATAAGACCGTCGTGAAACAGTTCTCATCATGAAGGCCGTGTCTTAACTGGGCGAGCAACCTGCATGTCAACAAAAACAATAATTATAGTAATAACAACAACAACAACAACGACGACAACAACGACAACGACAACGACAACGACAAGGACAACGACAAGGACAACAACAACCACGACGACGACGACAACGACAACGACAACGACAAGGACAACGACAAGGACAACAACAACCACGACGACGACGACGACAACGACAGCGACAACAACAACAACAACCACAACGACGACAACGACAACGACAACGACAACCACAACAACAACAACAACGACGACAACGACAACAACAACAACGACGACGACAACAACAACGACAACAACAACGACGACGACGACAACGACAACGACAACCACAACAACAACGACAACGACAACCACAACCACAACCACAACGACAACGACTAAAAACACAACAAAATCAACAGGAACCCTGCGGGGTTGACGAGGCTGCAAGGGGGCTACGACACTCTAATGGACTCTATTACTATGACCAATACCCTAGAGGCCCTTCATCTCACCCAACCAGGCTATAGTCTGGCGGTCGGCCGACCCCCCAGCCCACTAATGGGTCAAGCCACATGCAAAAACATGGTTGTGTTTCAACTAGAGGATTACTTTTCCAGACGTTTTCGCCAGATATTCACGCCTGAAACGAACAAATATTCAACTGGGCTGTTCAGTCATGTCCCTCTTCCAGACATGTGCAACCCCATAAGTTTGCAAAGGAAAGATCACCGGAGCTTGCATGCTCCTCACTGGAACATGCGCCAAAACTGAGGGTCCTCATAGCACTTCCACTCAGTGCTCCTTAGAGTTCCTGCCCTACACCGAGCACAGCGATAGAAACACCATAGAAACCCCGTGGATCACCGCCGAGGGGCCATGAAGAAGGCCAAGCCAGTGATGACCCCCAGAACCAAGAGCAGCACCATGAGCGCCAAGAGCGGATCCTGTTGGCGAAGCCAACAGCGGATCGGACAGAGTTTGTTCCTTTTATTCCCGGAGATTTCCGCGGGTAGTTAGCACATAGAAGGGTTTACCCGATAAACCTGTAGACGTCAACGAATAAGTGTGATAGACTTCTGATCGAATTCTCATCATCTAGACAAAACCTAAGAATAGAACAAAACATGTCAACAAAGTGAGAATCATTGTAGACATCATGGCGAATTCTCACTGTCTGTGTGATTCTCGCCACCCAGCGAGGTGCGAACCACCGTCTGTCCCGGTGACGCCCCGTGCGCCCGAATGGATGTGAAACACGGTGAAGCCAAGACCCCTCGTTTCGCACCAGGGGTGTGGAGGGCCGCGGGAGGAGGGCCACGGATGGAGACCATCGCTGAGCCCATCCGTACTGAGCCCAGCACCGCTGTAAAGATGATCATGCAGGCGAAGCCACCCCTCAGCGCCGATCTCATGCCCCGTACACCGATGTCGCAATGTCTCGTCGGGCCGGATGGCGTGATGCCTCCATGGGGATCTGCTGTTTTTTGGGCCAGCTGCTAGCTGCTATGTGGTAGAGTACAACGAAGGTGCAAAGACTTGCATGTTCTTGTATATGTTCGTGCGTGGTGGTAGAGAGATATTCTTGTATATGCTTCCGCAACACCACTCAATTCATGTGTCTGTATCAACATGGAAACTAGATCAGAAATGATCAGAATGGGGGGTCCAAAGTGCTGATGCATCTGCTGGGTACTCAAATCAGTGGGAACCCCGACATGTCGTCATCATGTCCCCCACGGAGTGGAAGAAGCGGCTGAAAAGGCACAGCCGGTTCCCATCAAATCATCCGTTCCGAAATCATCCGTTCCAGTCCGTTGTGGGGATGGCCCATCTCAAGCTTTGCCTCAAAATCAAGAATACCAGCAGCTTTCTTTCCAAAACTCCTACAAGAAGTTCTTCCACCCAAACCAGCCGCGCATCAGCTCAAGAATCCCGGGGTACCTCTCCCTTGTCGCGAGTGAGAGCTCAACCATGTTCAGAATTTGTAGTCATGTGAGTCTCATCTGGCCTTACAGATCATCTGGCTTACAAAGGGAAGACTTAGACTTTCTGGTGCCCTATCCCCTGAATGACCTCTGGCAGGAATTCTCCAGGTGTGAAGCCCACTGCTACGCCTACGCGACACAAATTGACCACCACACCAGGTGCTGGCGGAGGAATTCTCCATGCTCCCCGGCAGAGCTGCCACCACGATGGTGAGGATGGTGCTATTGATAATGGCCACTTCTGCCTTTTTGACGGAGAATTTGGTGTAAACACAAAAAAAGGGTGTACTCACTGAGGTCACCTGCAGGTGCAAAAGACATGGAACTGAAATCCTTCGAACTTCGCACCAGGTACAGAGATTCCAGGATATGTGCTCACGAATTCTTCCAAAAAGCTGTTCCACTGGGTGATTTGTAGCAGTATCTATTGCATGCCTTCGGAGGTCGAGGAGCAAGACTGCGGCTCGTCTCTACCTTCGAATCCTAAGGTCCTTCCACCAACGTCGTCTTTCTGCGGGGTCTCCACATCTCACTTGTCTCCACTCTTCGGGAACGCCGCGGGCGTCTCAATGGGCGTCATGTTGCTCCACGCTATCCAAGGCGCTTGAGATATGCAACTAGGGAGACCCCCGGCCCTGGCTGGGTAGACTGGCCTACTTAAGTCTACTTCTTCCAGGGGCTCGTTGCCTGGGAGATCTTCCCCATCAGAATCCCCTTTGGGGGGGGGAACACTCTCTCCAACAAATCTGAAGACCTGATCGACTTCTTCCCCCTTCCCCGCCTCTGCAGACACCCAGGCCTGCAAAAGCTAAACACAGTCCATCCATTGGACTCAGAAGTCCCCATCGATCTGATCACAGTCCGTGCAGTAGACGGAACTTCATAATTGACAAGGGTTCCATACTATTTGATAGCAGCTCCTCTTTGAAGATTCAAATCTTCAACTTCCGGAAAAGTACCATGTGTTGGCTCCCTTTTGCATGAGCAAAACCGGCTAACTTGCATGACGCTGGTCGGTGCTTCCACGGTAGTGGCTCTTTTGTATTGAGAAGCTGGTGCTTCACTCGCCAGGGCTCCGCTGGATCCCTGGGTGGATCCTTGGTGTCCAAAATCCGCAACACACAAATTCGTCTTGAATTGAAAGAAAGTGACGCCCCTGTCATAGAGGACGACGCCCCTGTCATAGATGCCGCTGTCATAGATGCCAAAAAGAGGGCGTGGGCCCCCCACATAGAAAATGTCACGGGACACCGTGCCGGGGTCATCTATTTGGGGATCACCAATGAAATTGAACGAACTTGGAAGGATTGAAACGTTGTGAGAACTTAATCATCTCCCGCAAACACGGCAAAATCTGCACACTGGCAGGTTGACCAACAAAAGAACAGGTCCTTGTCTTGGTTGACCAACACGGGCATTCGCCCCAAATTGCCGAAAATGCCAGGCAGGTTGAGGACAGGAGTCCAGGGTTTGCCTTTGAGAATAGTTTGCAGCGCTAAAGGAGCCGAAACGCCTCTTGCACGAAACACCTCTCAGAGCAAAAACAGCCGAAACACCTCTTGGACCATTAAACCGCTCTCTCAACTGAGAAACTCCCTGAAGGCTGGCAGAAATCAAGTAGCTCTTCTCAGGTGATGCGAGACGTCTTCTCATTTGCTTGCATTTGCCGTGGCAAAGAAGAAGATCCTCCCCATGCCCGGCAAATTCGCGCCTGCGCCGTGTGCCAGGCCATGTTCCCTGTGGTGGAAGCCTTGCCGGGCCAGAGAACATGGAAGCTGCCCTGGAGAACAGGAACTCAGGGGCGCCCTGTGTCCTGAAAACAGGAAGACTTCTTGACGTGGGTCAAACCCAACAGCTTTGCTTCCAGTTCTTTGTCTTTGATCCACATGAGGTGCAGTAATAGATCTGGGAGCAAAGGTCATCTGAAAATTGAGTGGTGGTTTCCCTGTTCAAAAGATACATAGGATGTTTTCACAGCGGCCATCCTCCCCAAGCACCCAGTCGACTTCCACAGTCGCTGTTGGTCGTGGGGAGTGGCATCATGACTGGGAATACACGCCCCCCAAAAAAGGAACCTATATACATGAACCTACCACGCACAGTACTACCAGACATGTAAAACCGCAGATTCCCAAAAAAGGATCTGAAGCCGAAGTGCTCACGTCACCTGTACTCAACCCATGCAGACCACTGGGCCACCAGACCACCGCATTGAGAGCATCCACATGTGCATCCCACTTGGCCTTGTGCGGCTCGCGGCAAACCAAACGGAGCAGCTCGGCTCGCGTCACGTCACGTCATTGGGCTGTGGGTCAACGCCCCAGAGGCCAACCCCATCAACCGGCCGACCTCCGCGTCCCGGCTCGGTTGTTCTGTGGCTCACCGGAACTGGTCCCCTGGGTGCGTTCGACGCCCGGACGCGAAGCCTGGACAAACCGGACTGCTTCGTCGGGGTCTTCCGTTGGCGACTTCAGAAGTAGGTCCTGCAGGTCAAAAGGCTTCAGAAGTAGCCTTTTTGACCCTCCCAAGGACGACCAGAAACAAGTGGAGGATGAATCACACCAATGCCGTGGAACACATCGCGGTCGGTCCGTCCGCTACTGCGCAGTGGAGGAGTCGGAAACCGGATGTCTCGTCTCCCTATGTCCAAACCGTCTCGAGCAGGCGCTGCTCGAGCATCATACACCGCCTCCTGTTGGTTCTTGTATATGCTGATCAGGCTTGTGATTTGACAACTTCGCGCGGTCGGTTCGATGGTCGTTCGCCTCAAGTACCTGTACATAATGCATATGGCATATAATTAATATATATTATCTATAGCTTATACTTTAATTAAGTACATTAATATATAACATATGGTCCTTCGGTCCCCCTGACATTTTGGGGGGAGTGGCCTTTTCCTCGAGGCCGTGGTCGCCAAACCCGGATCGCACCAGCATCCCCTTGCATCTTTTGGGGGGAGTAGCCTGAAGGTTGAAAGTCTGCGATCATGTCGGATCCCCTCTGATTTAGCCATTCTGAAGGACCTTCCACCCAAAAATACCCAAAGAATGAGAACAGACCTTCGACTGAACGCCGCACCGTTCCACCTTCCCGGCATGTTGCGGCGATCTTCCCGCCTTGAAGTCCAAGACCGCCTGCGCGCCCGCGTCAAAGGCGAAGTCGCAGTAGAAGTTCAAGGACGCGGCCACCACCTCGTCGTTCACCTCAGTGACTGACGACCGCGCGGGGGTGTGGTGAAAAAACTACACGTGCCGACGCAGGGTTCGGATGCGAAACCTCAACCTCAAACTGGAGGTACCGTCATAAGCAGCTCAAACTGGACGGGGTTGATGATTTTCCATGCTTCCTTTCAGCTGGGGCTAGCGGCTCAGTGACTTTGGGGGAGCTTCAGTGGGTGGACCGCGCTCTGAACGGATGACCGCGCTCGTGACGGGCTGCCGGGCAATCCACAACTGCTCCTGCATCGGCAAGTTGCTGACGGCGTAGTAGATCACCTGGCCAAACAGCACAGCACCGAGACAGCTCACGTGGCGGGTGACACCGGCAGGCCTACAGTGGCACCACGGGGCATGGATTGGTCGCCATTGGTTGATACATCTGCCAGCGCACCCTTAGCCGAAACGCTAAGTACCTTGTATGCTGATGATCTCAAAGGACCAAATTCTATTCTGGAACATCGGCCTAATCTTACAGGACAAGTTCTTCAGGTCTTCTCCAAAAAGTTCAGGTGTATGTGTTGATCACCTCAGCAACAAATCGGCCCACATGGGCTGTGCATGGCCTGTGCAGCAAAAAACGAATGGCGGATGTCCGCGCCTCCGGATAGAAGTTCCGCGATGGGAAGCGCTTGTTGTCCCACCTGTCGATCGCATTTCCGTGACTGCTGGGTCGATTCCGGTCTGCCCAGCCACGGGCAGGCGTCCTCCGAATCCCCTAAGAGTGACCAGGGCGGTCCTCTCCATACCAAGGCTGCCCGTCGCTACCTTGCAAAGGTTTCAACCGTTTCAACCTGGGTTGCTGGACACCGGAGAAGAGATTGCAAAGAGTAGTAGCACGCTTCCAGCCAGGATGCAACAAACTATCCAGACCTTTGTTCCGGTCAACGATCAAAGGCCCAGTCCGTCCAGCGGTGCAACATGTCAAGTTCGCCAGGTGGGTCGGCCTCAGCTTGTTTCGCAGGTCATCAATCCAGCAGCCTGCCACGCAGACACCAATCGGAGGATGGTCATGTGGAAGCTCCGGTCGTGCAAGCAACATGCAGTTCACTTTAATCTGGTTCGAGCGTGATAGCGTGATGTGGAATGGCCATTTAGACTGCTAACATCTGTTTTTTTCCCGGCGACCTGTATCAGTGAACCGACATGGACTTCGCCCCACACCCGGGTGAACTCCCCAAGCGATTCCCCGGGTGAACAGCATCGTTGACTCGTTGGACCACGGGAGTTCGGGTCGTTGACTCGTTGGTCTCGTTGACTCGTTGGACCATCCATGCATGGAATAGTTACACACATCATACATACATCATACATCTACCCTGGGAGTCAAAGACTATCAAAAGAATGGTCTTTAGGTGACCCGAAAAGGAATATGCTTTACTTCAGTGGGGCAAAATATAGTCTTTGGACTTCTAGGGTCTATATACCCCATTTGTGACCCTGATGTAGGTGACTATTCCATACATGGATGGTCTGTGGATGGTCCTCCTCCGGTGTGAACTCTCACACACATCGAACCCTCACAGACTGGGGGCATTTGCAGGTTCGACATCTCTTTTTTGGCTTGAAGCCTTCGTATGTCCACAACAAGAACTCAGAGATACCAGCCAGCTGGAGAAACTTGAGAGGTCAAAAATATCAATTATCAACCCTTCAAAGATGTGTAGTATATACGCTATGCACACACTGGAGACTGAAACATGAGCATCTTAGCTCCTTCCCATCCAGGACACAGCCATCCAGTCTCCTTCTCCCGATCCAGGTCTTCCGGACGCTTGCGCAGGATCCGCAACTCCGCGGGCGCCGTGTCCTGCGGGACACCGGGCCGATCCGGTGACCATGTCGGTGACATGTCGGTGCCCGGAAAACCACCTGTGGTCGGCTTCTAAAAAGCACCTGTTGGAAGGTGCCGGAAGTAGTAACTTTGATTGGGTTCCGAACATATTCCAAAGACGAAGGAGTCCATGGGAATTGAAGCAAGTAGATCATAGATCTCACTAAGGTGCTGTTCGGATCTCAACAAGTGGTCTTTTTCGCGGGACCAAGTCGCTGTCGTCTTGGCCCGAGCGGCGACCGGACCGCGACAACCCACCGGCGAGCAGCACCCGGTCGCCACGGGCAACCGGACCCTCGAGGCGGGTCGCGAGGCGTTGTCGAATGCTTGCGTTCGGTTTCAGACCGAAGGCCGTGGCACTGGACATGTTTCACTGATAGATGGAAGTGATCTCTTTTTAAAAAATATGGCGCCCCAGGAGAAAATCTTCGTCTCTGGCCATGTCGGAGATTCACGTCCTCAGGACCATGTCTCACTCGAAGGTACGAAGGTACGAGCTGACTCGGAGAAAATCTGATCCAATCTTCCGAGTAAGATGCCTTGTCGTTGTTCCACCATATACCTTAGTCTTGTCTGGTCAACGAACCGACGAACGCTTTCGAAACCGGGCCAGGTTTCTCCGGGAAGAACTCCCAACCCCCGTCCTCGCACATGGCCACCAAAGCCCGTTGTGCCTTGGTGGGTTCGGTGCCTGGACATCACCCGGACCCCACTGTCCAGACATCAACGGAGCCGGGGGCGTTCCTTAAAGACTTCCAAGAGTTGTCCGACTTAGTCCGTTGATGTCCATCCCCTTGTGCCGGGCTTGTGCTCCCCAGCTCTGAAGTCAGGACTGGCTGTGGCGAAACGGATGGGCCAAGGTGAAATGAAACGAATGAAAGCCTTTCCAGAAAAGGAATGAAACGAAGTTCCCAATTGAAATGTCCCCTCAACTCCGACCCACTCCCGTTCCAGGGAACGGTCCGACCGGCCGACGGACCGCGTCGCGGACACGGTGGCTATGGTTTACTGAGGTTGAGAGACCAGAACTGGAGCCTGGGATGGGCTATGTACGGATGGGATGGGCGCTTTTTCAGGCTGTGAAAACCTTTCTTGGTTGGCCATGGTTTCAACTGTCCATGTTTTCCTCGTTTAGAAGACATACCATGGAGTGTCTGGGGAAGGGAAACCGTTTTGTTTTGCAAGCTCGATGGAAGTCTCTCCAATAAGCAATAGACTGACAACAAATACAGTTAATGACTCAAACACAACCCTCAAATACATCCAAAAAACTCCCCAAAAGGGGCTTCGATGGCTTTGCCGAACATGTTCCCAAGCCCAACGGCTTGGCGTGACTGGTTCGCGTCTCTGGCCCGGCTGAGCTGGCCGACCCACGGATTGCTCATCCTGGGCCCCGGCGGGATCAATGCTTCGAAGGATGATGGAATCGGTGCGCGGATGCGCAGAGGCGTGGAAGCCCAAAAGTTAGGATGTTTTGGAAGAAGGGATCATCCAAAAAGGAAGCAACATAGAGCGACTAGGATGACCAAAAGGCCTCTTTGAGAGAAAAACGCCTCTTCCTTCATCTGTTGGCCGGCAAAAAGTGATCGAAAAGGTGTCATACGTCCCCAGACACGTACTTTCCGGCCCAGGTCAACCACCCATGCATGGGGTGGTAAATAGGCCAGTGCGGCCGGTTTTGCTCTTGCTTTTACCGTAAGATGTTTCGGCAGAGCAACCTGAGGCTCTGGAGAACTCAGGCTTTTGTTAGAGGGCTCGTGGTGCAGGTCCGGTGCATCGTACCCCCCGTGTACATCAAAGGGTCTACCCTCGCTGCAAGATCCTCATGGGTGTGCCTGAAAATTTTGTCAGATTTCAATTGGGCGCAAACAAAGACTAAAGACTAGTTTTGGAATGAACAATTGTTATTATGATGTTCAAGACAAACATGTATGCTGTTGTCAGAACTATGTACCGCAGCAAATGCTTCAGTCAATCTCATGATATGATAGCCCTAATCCCTTTTTCTCCACTTCCGATGAGGAATCCAGACCTACCATGACCTGGGCATGGGTTTAGTCTCCTTGAAATTCCATCTGCCAGTGTCACAGCCCAAAGTCTCGACAAAGCGGAGCCGCCCTGTGGGTGAAAACCCACCTTCACCAGTCAACCACCCCTTAACCTGTAAGGGACTATTAGTAGACACCCCTTAGGGGGCCCTGACATGTGAATACGGTCAACTCAGTCAACTCCATGTATTTCCACTCTCAGGGGCTTCAGAGGCTTCGTTTGTTTGGAAGACCAAAGCCAAAGCCAAAAAAAATGTTCTCCTTTCTGCCATGACGCAGGCCATGGCAGAAAGAATTCCAACCCCCGAACCAAACCGGCATTTCCATCTCCGTGAAACCAATTCAACCGCCTTGTCTCTCGCGCCCAAGTAGTCCTTTTCTCTCCCGCCCCGGAGCCCCGCTCCGCGCGTCGTGGTTTCAAGGGGGTCCTCCCCCCTTGTTCGACCGGGCATCTGGAAGGTTGGATCGAAGGACCAGCGGTCCGCGTTGGGGCCCAGCAAGGGGATCGTGCGAGGAGCCTCGACCGGACGGTCGCGAGTTTCCGAAGAGCCTTCGGCTCCTTGCCGTGACGGACGGAGCCGTCTGCTTCCGCCGTTGGGGACGGTTCGAAGGGTGCGGAAGCGCTGCGGGCTTGAAGGAGAGTGGCGGATGTTCAGTTCCGTGGAGGAGAAGGGTGACACCACCCGTGCGCACGGACCGCGCACCTCCACCCAACGTCCGAACGTCCGGGGAACCCGGCAGAACGACCGGTCGTGGATGAACCGGGACGAATAGGGACGAAGACGGACGACGCGAATACCGGTGATGTTTCGGTTCGAACCAAATCCCAAAAACACCGCTGTGGTCTCTTTCAAGACCATTCTCAGATGAAGTCATGAAGAGCATGTGTTCTGCGCCAAGCCCAAGAAGGCCAAGTGGGACTAGGCTTCACTCATTTCTGGTGTCCGCCAGCGTGACGCCCGGCGTCGCTGACTGAGTCAAGTGTATCAAAGATGTGCAGTGATTCTGACCATGGCCAGCCTATATGACAATTACACTCCGACGAACACATCACATGGTTACGTGGATGGCACCCCCCTAGAACTCGTAAAGGAAGACGTCGTCGTCCAACAACGGGACCATGCCATCCACGTAATCATGTGATGTGTGAAGTCAGAGTGTACACCTTAATCCTGCCCATTCCAGGGTCGGGTACTTGTCCTCTACCACTCACAGTGGATGGTGGGTACTTGACGGTCGAAAGTACTCACCAAAGACTTACAGGCAAATGAGACCAGCACCAAACACATGGTAGGGGGCCCAAGGGCATGGTTTAGGGATAGACTCATAGACCCATAGATGCACCACTTTGGATCTTCCCAAGAGACACTGCCCACCTTGAAGAAAGCGCTAGGATGCAGCTTATCCTACTTTCAGAACCCATGTGCAGATTGCAGACTGGTTGAACAAAACATACCTAGGATGCAAGTTTCCACGGGCCAGTGAGCGGCCCATTTCCTGGCTTTCCATCCATTTGGCCCCTTGGCCCGTCGCGGCTGGCGACGCAAGTCTCTCTGGCGTCCCGGGCCCGGATGCCCCAGAGCACGGTCACGTCGATCTGCTTGTTGGCGGCCACCGTCTGAGCCGGAGAATTCGGAGCCGAACCCACCGGGTGGACGGGATGGTGCTGCCTGTGGAGGTGACCGTGTGGCTTTCTTTTGCAAGGAGGTTTTGGATCACAAAAGGTGGTACATGGCAGGACATTGGCAGTACAATCAAGTACCCCCAACCAAGCTGTGTGTGTGTGTGGGTGGGTGTTTCGTAGTCGTAGTTGACCCCCGAGTGTCTGAAAATGAGATGTTCGCAAAACGGTTCTCCAAGAGTTGGCTTCAGAGGTTCCATCTCTTTCGTTGATTCGTTGAGCCAAGAGACAAGGCTGAGCTGGGCTGAGGTGCTTACATATATCCTAACTAGCCCTCAAAGACCTTTTCCAAAAATCAAGGAGCTGGTAAAATCCTTAGCAAACCAGTGGTTCTTCGGGATTCAGGCTATTACATCAATTGGATCGAGTCCTTTTTCTTTTCGGATGGATACTATAGGGTATATAGATGAGGGTGTTGAGCCCGTCAAAGTGTGAGGATGGGGATCCACCTTAAAAACCACATGGTTTTCATGTCACTTTCCACCTCAAACCAAGTTTCACAAGGACCCGAGTTCTGATTTGCCAGCAGCTCGATAAATGCTTGGCTCCCAAAAATATACACACACCGCCCCTTCCGCAAGGCGGCCACCCCCACACTTCAGGCCGGGACCCAAATCGCCCCTCAGCTTCCGGGCCGGCACGCTCTGCAGTTGTCGCACCTGACATCGACCGAACCCGACCCTTTTTCGGAGCACGCGACGAGGTCGGTCCTGGTGGGTCATGATACACCGAATTCGGAGGTCGGTCCTGGTGGGTCATAAGAATCTGTCTTTTGGCCAAAAGATGGGGCGCCCCAAATCGGACAAGTGCGGATAAGTGCGGCACGAGCCTGGCACGAAGAAGGGCTCGAAGCGGGTCCAAGCTGGTGCGGCTTTTGCACCCCATATAAATCAGCTATGTAGGAAGGAAAGAACGCCCAAATATGCCAAAACACTAAAGCACTTAGTAGTAGTAACACTCTCGTATCCAGAGAAGAACACAACCCTTCGTCTCCCTTCGTCTCCTCTCCCCTCCCGGCGCTCCGCCAGCAGACGGTCCGGCCGCCTCGTCTAATCTCCGCGTGGAGGGCGAGAAGTTCCCGAGCCTCGGTCCGATCGAAGTCGAAGCGCCCGGGGTCGGACGTGGACAACCACGGAGCCACCGGGCGAGCCAGACATCGACTCTTGGAGGTCCAAGAAACACACCGTCCTCGTGACTCGGTCTGTCCGTGACTCGGGCGGAATTGGATGAAGAAGACACGAAACGACGAAGCCGAACCCTGTGACTTCCTCCAAATTCAGGAAACGCCAGAAGTGGCACCCCTATTTGCGAGGGACAACGAAGATCTTCTCTCGATTCGATTTGGCTATGTCACGGCTATGTCCCTCGTGGTACTAAAATGTACTAAACAAAAAGTCCAAGAAAAAAGGAAGGACCAAATAGCTGTAAAATACTGTATGCACATGTGTTTCCGCCATTTGTACCCCCACATGCGCAACCACCGACCCGCGAAGTCACCCGCGAAGTCAGTCAGTCACCCCCGCTGTCTTCCTGGGGCCAGGCGGTGTGTAATCCTGAAAGCTGCAGTGTGGCACCTCCCAGTTGCAAACCACCTGCGCCGTACACACCTGTGGCGGGCACTGCCAGGTCTGTCGTGTGGGACCTCCAGCTCCGTGCACCGTGCTTGTTGACGTGCCGTGTATGCACGGTGGGGAAAGAATGAAACAGCGGCTAGCAAGAGCTATGCAGCAGATGCATATGAACAAAACAAATATTGATAGACAAGGAATATGGGTGTGTATTCGTATTGAAATTGGGAGACCTCCCACTTCGACCCCCTGCAATCTCTGTCATAAGGAAAATATGTCCCTACATCAAAATACACCCGCCATATGGTTCTCTCTCCCAGGTTCCTCCACCAAAGGATGCAGCCTCTGCATCTGGTCGAGCGATTCTTCAGCAAAACAAAGCAGCAAAACTTTAGGAAACAGTCAGTACTGGAGGAGCGTTTTCAGTCCGATCCAACAATGTTTGCCCGATATTGGCCAGGAGAGGAACTTCAGATACAAGATTACGGCCAGGGCAGCTTGCCCACTTCGCAGGTAAGGGCAGTTTGGGTTATGGTTTGTGTTGCAACCTCCCAATGACCCCCTCCGCCCTCCCTGCTGAAAACAGAACCAAGCAACTAGCGTTGGAACACCGGGGCCCTCTACGTTTTTTATGGATAACGAATATGTAAGATTGACGTCATGGAGTTGTTGTTGATACGTTTTGGCGCTTTTGTTGAGACCAAAAAACGATGTGTCACAAATGGGTATACAAAACATCCATGTGTTCGGTGATGAACGCTTTGAGGTATGTAAACATGGGACAACTGTTCCTGCAACGGGCTGGAAACTGCAGACTGACTTGGGAGGCAGACTGAGACACCCAGTCAAATGGACAATGTCCATTCCGGTCGGTGAACAAGGCACTATCATGTACCATCCCTCTCCTATAGTTGTTCTTGCATTCAACAAGATGGGGTTACTCATTTCTGCCTCAACCGCATTAGTAGTCCCTAGCAAAGTGACAATGAAGAAACTTGGGTTAGATGCTAATGCCCTAGGGAACCAAGTACGTTCTCAGAAGGTACTTGGACCCTCCAAACCTACATAACAGTGTCTCCAATCACCTTATGAGAAGGTACAGTACTTGGATCCCTAGGGATGCAACGAATCTGGATATGACACATCCAAGTTATGGAACGGTGTCGATCTGATCTGACCTAGACTTGCACCAGCACTTTTCATCAAGCCGGGCTGCATGGAATTTCCATCCAACTTGATCGACACCCGTTCTGGGACCCCCGTTTCCAGGGCTTGCCACCCCTCTTCACGTGGTGTCTTTGTGTTCCTCGCCGTCCGCTTGGTGACGAGTGTGCGCGACACATGTCCTCTGGGCGCCTCGGTGGCATTCGCCTCAGGGCTTAAGACCACCGTGGCGGAGCCCAAACGGTAGAAGCGACTGGCCACCACCTCAGACGACGCGACCGGCCGACGTCGCGGACACCGCGGACACGTCGCGTCCCTCCGGGAGGGACTCACACCCCCTAGGGGCGCCGTGAACCCAAGAGACCGCTATCTTCCGGCGGGTTTGGTCTGTAAACCGAGAGACCTTGGTTTGGTCTGCTGCTTTGGACCGTTGTTCTTTCAGGTCGAGAGTCGGAAGATGTCGCTGCCGTGTTCCGGAGAGACCTTCTGGCCTCTGGCCCAGAGTGGAGGCTGTCTTCCCAACCACTTGCGCAACTCGCTCGTTCGACTCGTTCGACTCGTCGATTTCCTCGGGGTTCGACCCGTTCCACCTCCTCCCCCCCATCCCGGCCGATCGACGGCACCGAACAGCGGGGCTTCCGCGGAACGCATCACGTCTCGGGCGCCCCGGCGGAACCTTCACTCCAGCTCTCCATGATCTGGGCGAGAAAGGACCCGAAACGCCGGGCTGTTCGGGCCCCTCCAATTGGAGGGGAAGGCTGGAAAAGCCACCGGACACTGTGGCGAAACGATTTGGGACGTAGGCGTCTTTTTGTCAAATCCTCTGCCATGGTCGAAGAAAGAGAAACTCTTGGGCGTTCCCTTCGAGGTTGTACTCCTCAAAGAAGCGCACAAGATCTCTGCGATGGTCTATACATGTAAGTGAGACGCGTCCTAGACTACAACAACAGTATTCAAACGATCACGCTTGTGAATGTCCCGCCACATTCACGTTCCACAAACAACTGCTGAATGACTCTAAACCTCGGCCCTCGGCCTCATGGGGATGGTCAAAAATTAACGGTCCCAGAATACAGAAAGGTGGGAATTGGAGCAACCAGGGTGAGTGTACATTTCGAAACAAGTGCCCAAATACATCAGCTGATGTTTTGTTTATGATAATTATCTGATCATTGATGCAATTGGTGATATAATTGATGTTAATTGTCGATCATCCCGGTAACAGCCCGCGGGTCTACGAGTGAGGTTCAACTGTTCAACGTAAAAATAAACTGCACAGAAATCATCAAACGGGATGGCTTTCAAGTGAGCAAGGACTATCTCACCTGCGTCCCATCCCTTCAGAGAGTAGCTGCCACAGCAGTGACTTTGCCATCTCTTCGCGACTGGTTTCTTCTTGTGGCATTCCTTCGAAGCGGAATTGAGACATCGAAGACATCTCGCTGACTTCTATCTCTTCGGTACTGGTATCCCCTTCTTGTGGCAGTCCTTCGATCCATGACTTTGCGTTGGCTGCCATCTCTTCCGCACCGTCGATTTTCTCTTGTGGCATGCCTTCAGAGCGGAATTGCGACATCGAAGACTTCTCGCTGACTGCTATCTCTTCAGTACTGGTATCTTCTTCTTGCGGGAGTCCTTCGATCCATGACTTTGCGTTGGCTGCCATCTCTTCCGCACTGTCGATTTTTTCTTGTGGCATGCCTTCAGAGCGGAATTGCGACATCGAAGACTTCTCGCTGACTGCTATCTCTTCGGTACTGGTATCTTCTTCTTGTGGCAGTCCTTCGATCCATGACTTTGCGTTGGCTCCCATCTCTTCCGCACTGTCGATTTTTTCTTGTGGGATGCCTTCAGAGCGGAATTGCGACATCGATGACTTCGCGTTGTCTTTGGCAATCATCGGCTGATGAGCTTGTAGGCCACCAACAGCTGGTTCAACCCTCTCGGCTGAAACTGCTTTGCGAATAGTCACCTCGAGCTCGCGACCGCCGATGGTTAGTACGCCATTGAGAGCTCTGAAGCATCTTGCAATCTTCTTCGAACTCACGGCGAAGTTGATCTCCTAGCGACGTGGCCCACCCAATTTGGGGAACAAAAACCGCGGCAAAAGTCCGGGGATCTCCGCCAGAAATTCAGGGCTTGGATTCCGTTTGGATGGGGTTGGTGTTTCTGACCCTCCAACGGTCCATCAAGGGTTCCAACGCTCTATGTCCCGAGAATCGCAGCTCCTGTGCAGACACCCTGGTCATCTTGCGCACTCCGAAGGGCTTGAGCAATTCTCCAACCTCCGCATCCAAGTGCATGGAGATCGGGCTCAAGGTCACGATCCAGTGGGGAGTGTCTGGACGGCTCAAAGACCTGCAGGAGTTGGTCAAACAAGAGAAACAGGTGAACCCAAAGCAACCTGCTGCCACCATCATAGACCCCCCGTGACCACGTGCTTACCGTCTATAGTACTTTGTAAACTTGGCCCTGTGTTTGAAGACGATGGCTTGCAAAGTCACCGCTCACCCACAGCTTCAGCTCAGCACCATCAGGAGAGGAGAACCAATGGCAAAAGAGGGAGACGGGAAGAGCAGGCAAGTCTTCAAAGGACGGAGGCAGGTCTTGAGGAAAAGAGGGCCTCCTCCGGAGAAGAAGAAGAAGAAGAAGCGACCTGTGGGTCCCTCAGCGGCGGCTCCACTGTATACGCTCCCGCCGGGACGTACGCCCCATGACTTAACACAGATCCCCCAGACTCAGGGCGACCTGCCCGCAGCGACATACCACACTCTTAGACCCTCTGACAAGTGAAGTGCTCAACCGTATAGAGTATGTGTAATCTGGGTGGTGATTTTTTATGTTTAGTCAGTCAGGATCTACAGTGTCAGCCACTCAGCCACTCAGTCAGTTAGGATAACTCAGCCACTCAGGTATTTTTTCCTGCCAGCCACTCAGCCAGGAAGAACATACGCATGTCCACGTATAATCAGCAAGACCATCTAGCAGGAAGCAAGACCATCGCACGTTGGACCCAGAGGGGGCGCAACAGACCGTGCGCAGGAGTCCCTGAGATCCATGGGAGTCCTGGACGGAAGCCGCTTGGATGCTGACAGGTGGCCGGCCATCACGTTTGAGGAAGGCGGATCCACCATCTGTTCGGTGACAGGACAAGGTTGGGACCAGGTTACGGAGCAAGCTTGAGGTCGACGTTTGACGTCAATGGCTTCTTGGAACCCTTTCTTGGCAGCAATGTGACCTGCCGGGTCGAAGGCCAGGAAAGGTCGTGAGGAGCGGACGCCCGTTGGTATGGCCGACAGTCGGGCTTCCACCGTGGGTCTGAACAGGCCATGGGTGGGGAACTCGTGGTGGTGTCTTCGTGGCATGGTTGCTGGATTGCCTTGGAGCTCCGGTTGTGCAATCGGCTGAGTTTGGAGTTGATGGGAGAGCGCGTGCCTGGTGGTAGCTTCTTTTGCAAGGTTTTCTACTTGGGCCCCAAGAATGCGTGCGCCTTGTTGTCCGGTCGAACCTGTGGAAGACTTGCTTCTTCGGAAGGTTGAGTTGACAGGATTGAGGGGCAAAAACCGAGGATTTGTTGCCAAGCTCCGTCTGCATCGGAACATATCAAGGACTGGCACGGGCAGCAGGCTCAAAAAGGGATCAGAAGTGCACTTGGTTGACAGCCAACTATGTCTTCATGCTGTCTGGCCCCTAGGACGTTCTAGCACTCGCACTCTCCGAATCAACTCCCTCTTGTTGGTATCTGGGTCGGGCGTGCAGACATACGTGTTGCCGGCCACAGAATCCAGGCAAAGGTTTCCGGCGCCCGACGTGGTCCGAAGCGATGGTAGAAGACAAAAACCCACGGCGGCGGAAGGTCGCATGCTGCCCTCGCTCGGACCATCGGAGCGGTCGGACCGTTTGGGCGCCGAAAACCGACGGAGCCCAACGGAGGACGGAGCAGGACCCGCGAGTCCGGCCGCAACCGTTGGTCTGGGGCGGGCGGTGACCGGTGCATGCCCAGCACCTGGAGGCCGACTCAAGAAGTTGTAGGATTAGCCTTTGTGAAAGGAGGTCAGGGTGCCACTCTCCCAGCATGGTGCGTTAAGAAGCAGGCGGAACAGCCAACCTGATGGGTGTATAGATGGACATCCAGGTTTTTCTCTCGCACACCGTAGTAAGTCGTGCCATTTTGTGCACCCTCCGTCGTCTCGGAGAATCATGTTCGACTGACACCTTGGCAGTGGGATGTTCATCCTTTCGTCCAGACACTCCGAAGGGGCGAATGAAACCTACCCCAGACACGACTAATGGGACTGGTATAGGACTACCGATCAGGCCAGGGGTGGTGCCAGAGGGGTCAATGTAGGCATATATGACAGACATGGAGTGTCTGGGTACTGGTTTAGGAAATGGGGAATATGTCATTCGTCTGCCTGGGTAGGGCCGGTGGCAAAATGCGACAGCAGGGACATACGTCAATGATGGTCTTAGCTAGCATGCAACTTTTCAGTGGACCAATGGCAATCGTCGTTTTCGCCGGATTGGTCCTAAAAGCAGGGGGCACCGTGGATTTGTCGTCGAAAGACCAGAAAAACACGTCTAAAAATGTGAGTGAAAGGGCGGAGGTGTAAGGGCGTGTTTGTAAACGCAAAAAGTAATACACTCCCGAAAACTAACATAGACCCTGACAATGGCCTCCTGGAAGAGTGTTTTCCTCTACCAACCAGTGGTGTTCAAGGTCCATGTTAGCCTTCCAGGGTGTAGAAGGAAAGCCATGGATTTGAAGAAATTGTTTGTCTCATGTAATGTAATTTGATGTGATGTGATGTAATGGAATGTAATGTAATGCAACATAATGTTTGTCTCTCAAGTTGCGAGGTTCTTTTCCTTCTGTGGATGGGCGGAGAGAAAGGGAGTGAACGGGTCCTTGGGCTGGAAACCGTTCGGGCGTTGGTGGTGATGTTCCAGGGGGACCATAAAAGAGCTGAGTGAACTTTTCAAGAGACATGTCATCTTCAATTTCCAAGCAATACCTTACATTCCATTCCATTACATTACAAACATTATGTTGCATTACATTACATTCCATTACATCACATCACATCAAATTACATTACATTACATTCCATTACATTACACACATTATGTTGCACTACATTACATTCCATTACATCACATCGCATCAAGTTACATTCCATTACATTCCATTGCAATACATTACATTCCATTACATCACATCAAATTACATTACATTACATTACATTCCATTGCGATACAGTAAATTCCATTCCATTACATTACAAACATTATGTTGCATTACATTACATTCCATTACATCACATCACATCAAATTACAATACATTACATTACATTACATTACATACATTACATTACATCAATACAGACAGACAGACCTTACAATACAATACAATACAATACATTACATTACATTACATCACATTACGTTACATACATTGCATTACACTACACTAATTACATTACATTAATACATGCAAACATACATACATACATACAGACATACATACATACATTACATACATACATACATACATACATACATACATACATACATACATAC